AAACCAAAGCAATGCGGCAGAGCCTGATGATTATTTTATTTTAGGAGCTGTTTGAAACATCAGCCTTGAAACAACAGCATCTGCGGGGCAGTTTTCTAAAGCCTTCCCTTAAAGCAAATATACTTGTCAATTAATGGAAAGGGTTTGTAATAAACAGCAGTAGATGTCCCACCTTTTTTGGGCTGGGAGTCCTCCCAGCAGCAAAGTCCTTGGGTGATCTCGTCGTGTTTAGTGCGAATATTCAATGGGAATGTGCTTTTCGGAGGTTTGCTCCCCAAGGAGAGGGCAGTGGGGGGATGGGAGTGTCCCCCCCGGCCAGTGCAAGTGGAGAGCAGAGGGGGTTCCTCTCCCTGCGTGGTGCCGGCTGCCGGGGTTCAGGTGTCCGGGAGCACCTCGATGCCTTCGGCGCTGCTTCCTCCATCAGCGCCCGAGGGATCCTGCAAAACCAGAGCGGGATTGGGCTGGGCTGGGGGCTGCGGGCCGTGGGCCCCACCAGCCGCAGTGTCCCTGTCACCGTGGGGAACGCAGGGCAAGCGTGGTTTGCCAGTCATTCCCCCTCCCTCGAATCCCAGCCTTCCGCTCCAGGAGTCCTCCTCCTGCCCCTCTCCCCCATCCTCCCTCTGCCCTCGGCTTTGCTCTTTCTCTCGAGAGTGCCTGGGAGAAGAGAAACCTGGCTGTAAATTAACCGGGAGGATTTTTCAGTCTGAGATGTGCACTTCTCCTCCTCCCGCTCCCCCCTCCCGCAGCGCTGTTATTTCATCTCTCGGCTGCCAAACTCCCGGGAATTAATCCCGGCCGGCGCTGACAGCGTTTACATTCGGCGCTGCTCAGATAAACCATATCAGCCGGCGCAGCTGAAGAGGAGCCGGGCGCGGAAGGAAGGGCTGGCTCCTGCTCAGTGTCAGCCCCACCAGGCTGGGAGAATATTTTCCTGCCTTTTTTTCTTCTCCCTTCCCCTCTTCTCTCCTCTGAGCAAGGAGCCACCAAAACCACTGCACTGGTGAGGGTGGCCATGGCAGGGGGGGTTGTTCATACAGCAAAGCCTGGAGCTCCTGGCTCTTATCCTGGTGCAGATAATGGAGAGGGAAAAGGGACACGTCCTTCAAGCTGGTGGGAGCCTGCAAGCTCTGTCTCTTGAGGCTTCTCACCCTGTGCCACCCAGCACACATAGGAGCACTTTTCACCGCCAGCTTCTGTGGAATGGGGTTTAATAGGTTTTTTAAATATATATATATATATATTAATAACTGTAGTACAGTTATTGTATGTGCTCTGTTTTAATCTCCCCCTTGCAGTTGTATTTCTGTCTGTCCCTCATGGTGACCTCCTGGCTCTCCCCTCTGCTGTCAGCAGGGGCCAGCAGGATATGGACACAGGGTGCAGATGTGCCACCTCTGATCCCGCATCAGCACCAGGCTGGCAGAGCCATCGTTCCTCCAGCTCGTGGCAGACACTGGGCAGGGGAGCACTGGAACCTGTGGCCGGTGGTGTGGGGTGCAGGGCCTATCCCAGGGCTGGAGCACAGGAGACAGGCTGGGAGCACACCCCTTGCTATTCCTTCGCTACCGAATTCCTCTCTCCCTCCGTCTCTCAGCCCATAAAGCATCACTGGGGCCACGAAGGTCATTTCCCAGGACTGGACCTCCACCAGCTCCCGTGGACAAGGAATCCCTCCTGGAGAGCAGCTTCCCCAGGCTGGAACACTTGGAAAAAAGGTTGTTTTAGCACCCCACAGGCACAGGGCAGCCAGAGAGTGTGAGCCCATCACCCTGGTGCCTGGGTCAATTTTCCAGAGGACTGTGACCCGCAGCCTCTCACCCTGACTCCTTTTCCACCAGCACTTGCAGAGCACTGGCATGGCCACAGGGTCCAGGTCACGGCATGATCGTCACAGCCACCCTGACGTGATGGGATCTGGGGGTAAATATTAGTACGAAGCGAAGGGCTGTGTACATATTTTTTCCCTGCAAGGTAATGCTGAAATTCCCGGCTCCTTTTCAACAAGCTGTTGGAAAAACCAGCCCCGTGTCAGTGCCCTCCAGGCCACTGCTGGTCCTGGCTACTCTCAGCTCAGCGTGCAAAGGTCTAAGAGCTTGAGATCCCCACTGCAGCCTTCCCACTCCAGAGCAGACCAGTCCTTTTGCCCGTGGTTTCCAAGCCGATGTTTCCCATCTGGAGCATAGCAGCGTGCAGGCTTTGCTGACTGTTTGCTTCCGCCTGGAAGTGTATACAGGATGTGGCAGAGACTCCAAGGATGGCTTATTAATCACATTAACAACACCAAGTGGTTTTTCCCCCCCACAAAAAAAGGCACAGTGGGAGAAGACAGATTGAACCAGGCAGTTAATTGTCTCCCCATGTGGGTTGGCCCCAGTTCTCTCCTCTATGGCCAAGGCTGGTGAAGCTGTAGGGAAAGAAATAGGTTCCCCTTGCATGGACACCCCAGTTGCTGTAGCCTGGGGACCCCAACTCAAGTGCCTACCCATGCAAAAGCTACTCCACCACGTGCAGGGCTGGAGACCACCACTATTGCCTTCAGCCCAAGAGGAGACAAGTCACCATCAGGCTCCCCAAGACCCTGGGCAGCCTCCAAGACAACAATCTCTGCTCTCCTTCCTCTAAGAACTCACTGAACCCCCCCCCCCCCAGCCTCAGTCCTAAACTGGGATTGCTCCCCTTAAAATTGCTTGTGGACGGGTGCTGGTGGTTTCTGCCACCCTGATGGGGTGGGGTTTCCCTTCCCTGGAAGCTTGTTTTGTTCTTGGAGTAAAGCGGAGCACGATAAACAGGATTGCTTGATTTTCTTTTCCAAGCCTTGTGTGCCAAGGAAATTGGGCCTACGGGACAATAGCACGCGTCTGTCTGTCTGTCCATCCACCCGTCCTCTGCCAACAACTTTGGAAAGGTTGGCCCGTGTCGACTGAATCTGGCAGAGATCTCATGCTCGTCATGGGCCTGTTTTGCAAACAAGGGAGCTGCAAAGACCCATGGGGGGAAACCACGACGTGACCCAACCGTGCTGGGATCCATCCCACTGCAACGTGACCCAACCGCAGCGAGAGGCACCAGAGGAGCCGCGAGGGATAGAGGCATGGAAAATGGGGCTCCTGCTGCTCAGGGAGCTGTTTGTTGTTTTTACAGGCTGGGAACTGTCTCACAGCCCTCAGTGGTTGTAGTCGTTGCATCTCGCAGCCATCAGCACACATTTTGGCCTGGCTGGGCTGGCAGAGACGCAGGAACAGCTCCTGATCCAGGGAGAGACCCTGGAGGTTTGCACAACGTACCTGGAAGCCAAGTCAAGAGCCCAGAGGAGGAGCAGACCTTCCCCTTCTCACCTGTGCCGGTAAGATGCCTCCAGCCACCTCTCCCACCCTTGTTGCAGAGGGCAGGGAAGGGCACATCCCCTCCCTTTGCTGCTGCTTTCTGGCCACAAAGCTCCCTCACCATTCCCTCAGAGTTAGCAGGAACCCCCAGACCCATCTGGCCATGGGGCAGCCCCCACGACGACCCCTCACCTTGCAGCCACCCAACCAGAAAGAAACCAAGCAGAGCTGGAGGGGGTTTGATTGATTTATCCACTGAAGATACAAGTTTCAGTTTAATAACACCATTTTTGTCCGGTTACAAACATACTAAAAACCTACAAAAAGAAAAACAAGTTACACCCATCGTACACGGAACGGCCAAGTATAAAACCAGCACGGAAGCGCCGAGAAACACGAACATGAACAGTATCTGCAGCAGGAACAGGAAAGACACGGAGTTACATCAGACCACGCCAGCTCATGTCTGTGGGTCACGCCGGGACTGGTTAAGACATACTAACAATTAGAGACAACTTCAGCTATGGAAAATAATTAGCGCCGCAGCCTGTCGAAGAGGTCAGACCCAGGCGGGTAGTTTTATCCCTCCCTTTCCCTAAGTTGGTCCAAGGTTAGCACACGGATTTCCCTTCCATCCCTCTGTCTGGTAGCACTGGTGCTGGCCCCGAGCAGCCCTCGCACCGACATCCCCGCACCAGGGCAGCTTCCCCACGGCAAGGGGGCAGGGAAGGCTGAGCTCTGGCACCAGAGTCCAACCCGACAAAATCTGGTCCCCACTGAAGTCACTGGGCACCCCCCAGAGAGGGGGGAGACACTGGGATCCCCTTTGCTGGGACGAAGTGGAGCAAAGTGGCAGGGATGCAAGAGGACTCCTGTGGGAGAGCCCATGGCTCAGCTGCCTCGGGGGTTTGTCTCACCACAAGAAGAGATGAGGGTGGTGGCACAAGGTCCCTAAGGGTTGTGGTGGTGCCTGTGGAGCTAAACCTGCCATGGATGTTGGCCATAGGGATGGAGTGGATAGGGTGGATGGGATCTATGCCCCATTCCAACACAACACTTCCCATTCCCTCCAGCGCTCAGCTGCCTCTGACCAAACATTGAACTTGAGGTGGGGCAACAAGAGTTGGTTGATATGAGTGGCTGTCCCCAAAGAGAGCCAGGATGAGGTGTCTTGGGGGGAGAACCTGCCCCAGGGACACCAAACCCCCCCTCACTCAGCATCCATCTGCCTCTGGCAGGAGACAAGAGGCTTCCCCACCCAAATCACAGGTCCAAGCCCAGCCCTGATGATAATCCCACTGTGCTGGCTGAGCCAGGGGCTGGATTGGGCTGGGGGACAGAGGGATCTTCCCCAGGACGGAAGAGAGAGCAGCATGTGCTGGCATCATGCCCTGAGCCCCAGCTTCTTACTTGTGAATTTTGGGGGAAGGACTTTGCAAGTTGGTCCCTACCTGCCACCACCAAGGAGGGCAAAACTGAACCCAAAGTGCCCTAAGCTCAGCCTAGGAGTACCAGGAGGTGAAACATCAAAGCCCAGAGAGCAAGACCTGAAGCAAATGGGAGATAAGGGTGCCCCCAGTCAGCTGTGGAGGGTTCAGGGATGGGGGGTGGATGGGGCTGGCCTCCTGTTCTGCTCTTCCACTCGGCATTTATCAGCCCTGTCACTCTGGAATTGCATTTTTTTTTTTCCTTTTTCTGTTCTTTTTCATCTCTCCCCAGATGAGAATTTTCCCCGGTTTAAGCAATACCTCCTCTGCTGCGGGCGGCAAAGAGGGGGCGTTCGCTTTATCTCCTCCCCCCCGGAGCTTTGCCCTGGCTGCCCTCCTGCTTCATGATACTTCCTACGAAACTGGTAAAAATAAACATGTTTTTGTTTGCATCTATTGGACTGGCCTGCAATTTGGCTGATGGGGGGGGTGTGTGTGGGGGTGCTCCTCGAGGGACAGCAGCTGCACACATCTGGATTTGCTTTAGGAAAACGTTCCTGGAAAAAACCCCAAGCCCAGCACACACATGCATGGGCACACGAGGCCCTGGGTCAGTTTTTTTCTAGGGACATAAAAAAAGAAAGGAGAAACCAAGTGGGAGGACCTCCCTGCTGCTCCCCAAAAACCAAGGCACTCGGGTGGGTCAGGTACAAACACGGGGACTTTCCAGCCACCCCAAAGTGGCTTCCCTGTGGACTGGGAGCCCAGTTTTTGTCGTGGGAAGGGAGGGGAAGGGCTTGCACTGCAAAAATAAAATTCCCACCTGGACAATATTAACCTCGAAGGTTAATGTGCAAATTTTGTCTGAAGATGAAACATCCCTGTACGGAAACACCCCTGGCCCAGCATCCCCAGAGCACAGGGAGTACATGAACTCATCAAAAATATGTGCTGCTGGCCTCAAGGTTTTGGCAGGAACCGGGGAAGTTGTGCTCGTGAGAGTCCTGTGATGTGTGCACACAAAAATATGATCTAACAGTCTTGTCCAAGCGATCGCTCTCCAGTCCTGCACTGGAGCAAAGTCAATCCTGAACGGGTTTTTCCCATCCATCCTCGATCTGGGCAGCAGCAGCTGCTTGAAGGATGCCTTCACTGACGTGAGGGATGAGAAGCTGCTTTGACACCCTGATGGGAGCCAGAGGCAGCAGCTGCTGGCACCTTCACCAGTGTGGGCTGGTGGGCTGAATTTTGGGGGTGTTGGCTCTAAATGGCAGCCCACCCTGTGAGCAAAGGCAGCATCACCTGTCACCCTGTGCCTTCCTTTTACAAACCCCTTGACCTCACACCCTGCCATGCCAAGGACAGCTGTGCCCCGAGCTGTTATTTCCACCCAAACCTCGATGGACACCCAGGACCTGCCATCACTCCATCAGTTTTACTGTGGGATGTAGGAAGGAAAGAACTGCAAGGCCAGATTGTCTGTAGTGACATTACTGAAGCTCTGGAGCTATTCTGGGACTAATTCTGGTCCTGTGGCTCTGCAGGAAGGCAAGGGAGCACTGGGGAATGCAGCCAAGAGGTTTAGAGCCTTCTCCAAATCCACTTTGCCCAGAGCCAGGGCACTGGGTGATGGCACAAACTCCTGTCTGCATCCCACAGAGCACTCCAAGGAGGGGCACATTCACCCAGACACACCTGCCCTCCTGCTCTGAGCAGCAGTCCTGGGGTCACACCCCAGCCAGGGGCAGTGCTGACATCCTGAAACAATGGAAAGGGCAGGGCTGGGGTCCGTGTCCCCACGGCAGGGGGATGTCCCCAAGGTGGCCGTGGGGATCCCAGAAGCAACCTTGGGCTCTCTGCCTATCCCGCTGGCATCCAGGAGAGGAGCTGGTCTCTCTCAGGAAGCTGCCAGCTCTCCAGGACAAGTAGTGGAGTGAGGCCAGAGGAAATCTTGGAAGGGAACCCCCTTCCACTTCAACAGATAACATTGCCCTTAGTGCTAGAGCTCTAAAAATAAGAGACCTTTAGGGAAATACTGGATGACAAGGATTCCAAAGCATCCCAGTACATCTGACACATCCTCAACCCTCTGCCAATCAGTTCCCAGAAATCCTATAAATCCAACCACTCGTGGGCAGGAGGCAACGGGGCTGCTCCTCCTCCCTTTTTCTGCAACTGCAGGGGAAACTGAGGCACAAACCAAGCAGACTGACCCCCAGGCTCAGCTGGAGTTGGTGTTGGAGGCGGGATGAGTGCTGCGAGCCCTGCAGCCACTTTTTGGGGGGCTGGGGAGAAGCCTTTGTCGGGCACAGACAGGAGCACTGCTGTCCCCGGGTGGGGGACACAGCTCCTGCAGGGGCTGATTTCTACCAGGCACTTTATTTGAAGGAGCCCAGTTTCACCAAGAGGGCAGGAATATGTAAATATACAACAGGTTAGTTATTAATTTTGGCAGAGAAGGGACCTTTCTTCACACCCAGAAACCCCTCCTGCTGTGTCCATGCCATCTTTCCCCTCCTGATCCCAGCCCGAAGCCCCCCCTTTCTCACCGTGCAGGGCAGAGCTGGACAGACAGACCTGCACACACCATTCCCAGGGCAATGGCACAACATGTGCCACCCAAGCTCATCCTCAGGGAGCTGAAGGGCAGTGGGTGGACTCACCAGCTCCCTACATATGACACAGGGATCCCACCTACACGCCATGCTCCGAGCCACGAGGGGAGGCAGCCCAAAGGCATCCCCCTCCTTCCCCACTCTCTCACGCTGCAGGAGCACGGCTCTCCCGCCCCCTCACTCCCTCCAGCCCCAGGGGGGTTTGCAGCAGCCAGCCAAGGAGAGGGACTGTGGGTGACGGGAGAGGCTGCTGCCAGCCCAGGGCGCAGGGTGACGGGCACCGAGAGCGGTGTGGGCACAGCTGTCAGCTCTGCCACCCTGCCAGGTGATACACAAAGTGCAAAGCAACGCGTTTTCGGTGCCAGCTGGGCAGCTGGACGTCTCCATAAGCACTGTGCCCCCCCAAAGCCGGGCCTAACCCAGGGGCTTTGCGTGGAAAATGAGGGTTGTGTTGTTCATCATCGAACGGGGCGGCAGCGCTTGTGCAAGGGACCTTGAGATGGCGCGAGCGAGGTGCAGGATTTGGGAGGGGGTGGTGGACAGGCCAGGACAGTGAGATGGAGCCAACAACCAGCGCTCTCCCCTCACCCTCTGCATCCCCTTCCAGCGTGCCCTGCAACTGCTTCACCCCGACCCACCCACACCCTTTGTGGTTCTACAGGTTTTTTCGGCTTATGTAGTTTGTTTTTAAACCCCATGGAGATCAAATTGTGACTTGGCAGCTGACAGAGCTGGCCCTACCGGGCTCCCCAGACTGAGCAAAGATCTTGAGAAGAGACCAGAGTGAAGTCCTGGGGTGAGTGAAGCCCTCCCTGCCCCTCGCCTGGCCCCGCTGGCTGCTCACAGGGTGGCAGTGGGGTACTGAGCCCAGCCCACCTCCTTGTACGCCGCCGTCACGTGGGTGTAGATGAGGGTCTTCATCTTGGTCCAGGCACCGTGAGCCTCCGGGGTGAAGTCGTTGGGGTATTCCTCAGCAATCACCTCCACCAAGACACCAGTGAGTTTCTGGAAGGAGGAGGACAGCAAGGGGTTAATTACTCTGCAGAGAGAAGCTAACAGCATATTTTGCTTTTTTCCCCACAAAAACCATTGAATCCTGCTGCTGATTTCTGGGAAGGAGACCTTCTGTGGGACAGACAGATGTCCTGAAGGTCTGTTGACACTCCTGAGAACAGACAGGGCAAGTAACCAGAGACCAAGGCATGATGGGGTACCCCAATTTGAGCACCTCAAATTATTGAGTCCCAACTATAATGCTTGATTTCTAAAAGAAGGGACATGAATATGCTGTTGGGGCTGTGAGCAGGACACAGGTAGGCCAGATTCCCTGGGCAGAGGAATGTACTGGATGCTCCAGTGACTGTGTGTGGGAAGGGTGGTCTGAGTGGGACACTCCAGCTATGTGAGGAGCAACCCCTACACCCAGCCAAGCTCCTCCAGGCAAGGACAGGCAGCATCAGCTCCCCACAGCTCCCTCTCCCCTGCCCTCTTCCTAATTTCTAAAGCACCCCAAAGATTACTTTGGTCCAATCCTTTACCTTAAAGTAGACGGGCTCCACTTTGTGCTTGAGGGCGTGGGCTTTGCCCACCAGGGCCAGGACGGAGGAGACCTTTTCGGAGTCATTGAGGTTCTCCACCACAGTGTTGATGGCACCCATGACCCGCCGGGCGTGCTTACGCAGCTGCAAGCTCCTCTCCATCTCCAGAGGGTCCTCCATGTGCTTGAACTGGCTGAAGTACTGCTTGGCCGAGGGGAAGTTCACAAAAAACCTTTGAGAAAGAATCCACATGAAATACCGTCAGGAGGGTGAGAGCAGGCTGAGGGGTTAAAGCAAAGCACGGAGCGGTGGAGCCACCCTCTGCATCTGGCACTGCCAGGGCTGGTTTTCCTACTGAATCCCCCAGCATTCAGCTGCCTGAAAACCAGCAGGTTGATGCCTTTCTCCCAAACCTTCCCCATCTGCTACAAGGGCATCACAGCTGGGTATTCATCTACAGAGGCAAGACGGAGTTCTTGACGCCCAGAGATTCCACCCAGGTGCCAGATGCTGTATTCATGCCCACATATATCAAAACATGCCTCAGAGAGCTGGAGATGAGCATGAAAAACCTCTCTTTATCTCAGCCAGCCCCTCCCTGCCCCTCTTCCTCAGTCTCACAGCAGCTTCTTGGCCCCGTGGGCTTTATTCCTGTATTGCCACCCCAAACAGTCTCCCCCTACCCAGGTTACCCCCAGCTTTCACAGATCAGTCTCCAGCAGCATCTCAGCCCTGGGCTCATCTGTGTTATCTGTGCCAGTAAACATTTCCCCCAGCACAAGAATATCCCAAACCAGCCCCTCTGAAGGGGCCTGGGGACCTTCTTTTCTGCAGGATTAAATCAACCCCACCCAAACAGAGCTGAAAGAAGTTCAGGTGTGGTTGCAGCTGATGTGCTGAGCTCCCCTGGGAGGTGGAGGCTGGAGGGGACAAGGTGACAGGGTGCAGAGATGCCACCACCACCCATGCCAGCAGTGCAGCTGGTCGCTCTCGACAGCTGGGGCTGACACTTGAGTCACATTAACCACCCCCTTCCACCCAATTTATGCAAAAGAAAACCACGTCAGTGTTTGCTCCCTGCATTCACCCAGCTCTCTCCCTCCTACTGGGCTCTCCCTGCCTCCTGGACCAGAGAAGGATGCTCAGAAAGTGGCAGAGGGCTCCCAGGCCATCATCCCTGGGTCCAGACAGACTCCCTCCCCTTCCTAAGCACCATCCCAAACCATGTGAACCTGAACCCATCCCACCACTTTTTCCAACCATCACTACTTCCCTCCAGAACCAGGTGGGATCCTCTTCCCCACTCACCACTCCATGAATAATCGCAATATTGAGTACCAGGCTCCTTACCACTCTGCTATCCTCCTTTCTCCCCCCCTCCCTTCCTTCCCCCGCTCCCTTGGCTTGTGAAAGCTTGGGGGCATTGCCAAGGAAGCAGAGTGAAGCAGTGCCTGGAGTGCACCACCGCTTCTGTTGCTTCCCAAGGCATCTGGGATTCATCAGATGGCCCAAAATAGGTATTGGAGGTGTGAAGAGTGTGTGGTGGAAAGTTGGGGGGGGGGAGGGAGGAGGAAGGAAGGTGGAAGGAAGGGGGAGACAAGGTGTTGCTTTTAAAACCCAGAGGGGACCCATGACAAAACTCCCCTTGTTATTGTGCAGCCTCCTCCCCCCAGCACAGCTCCTGCTGACACATCTGGTCCCTGCCAGGAGAAATCATTCCCAGGCCTGGCTGTCTCCAGCTCCTGTCACCACAGAGATGCTCAGCCTGACTCTTTCAGCAGAAGGGGGACAGCAAGGGGGGACTGACCCCTCCATCACCAGGAATCTCAGCATGTCCCTGCCAAGAGAAGGACCAAAAGGAGCCACTGGGATCATCACCTCCACCTCTCCCCGCTTTTGGCCAGATATGCCAGGAGCCAAGATTGATTAAACCCCCACAAGTTCCCAACCTGGGTGAGACCAAGCCAGTGAAGGATCCAAATATTTGCTTTCCAACCTTTCCCCGCTTCACAGTCCCTCAAGGTGATGCCCCCAGGGGAGCTGAGCCCACCAGCTTTCCCAAGGGACCTGCCATCAGGATGGCACTGGTGCTGGAGGATGTAAAACCAGCAAACCCTCAAGCTCACATGCTCCATCCTGTGTCTGCTGGCTGTCTTTGATGGAGAACTGAAACAAAGGAGCCCAAACCACCTTTGCTTCAAGCTGAAAAGCAAATCCATGGCTGGCCAGACCTGCAACCACCTCTCTTTGGAGAGCAGAAGGCGCCTGAGGCAAGAACCTCTGGCCTCAAGGTTATGTTTGAGCTGTGGAAGCACGAAGAAGAGGGAGGGAGGCTCACTCAGTGGTAGTTGTTAATAAACAGAGAAGATTAATTTAACACAAAGGTTAAATATAACCAGAGGAAAGGAGGGGGATGGGGGGGAAAGAAGGAAGAAATAAAATAACTCAAACAATAGAGAGTTAGAAGAGGTGTCAGTTGGGGTTTTTCCATCTACAGAACATTCTGAGAGTTCAAACATCGCAGGCTCTGCAATTTTGTTGGATCATTATGCATGTGTGTGTGGTTTGGGCTCTTTTTCTTCATCAGAGTCATTAAAAAGATGATATTTACCATTGCATATCGCACAAAATGATGATTGATAGAAACCAGATGCCTGCATACCGATCTCATTAAATTTCTTTTTAAGCGATTCCATTCTGCACCCGCTAATTTGTACTCTGCCAGCTACATCTGGACCCAGCAGACAGGATGTCAGGATTGCTTTTCCTCTCTCTTTTGCCCTTTTAACAACTTTAGGACACAACCATTCCCAGTAGCAGAGCCAAAAGAAATAATTAAGGTGGAAACCCACTGCAGTTACTGGAAACCTGTTTTCTGTTAGGGAGGAGATGCCACTTCTCCTCCCATCTCCCCCATCTTCCTCCCTCTCCCCAGACCGTGCAGAGTAAACCCTGCACGGAGGAAATCTCCAAGCCCAGCCACCTCCTTCCCTCCCCAGCTGGACAGAGGACAAATGGGTGCTCCTCACTCAGTCCCCTCAAGCAACTAAACCCTTAATGCTTCACTTACCCTTTGTGTAAACTGAGGGGGGAAATGCCCCTGAGCCCTCAGAGCTGCTGGGAGGCTTCAGCTGAACCCCCAGCCAGCACTTGGAGACTGTTTTTTTAATAGATTTTCATGGAATCATTTAGATTGGAAGGGACCTTTAAGATCATCGAGCCCAGCTCTCAAACCAGCCCTGCCAAGCCCACCACCAAAACACGTCCCCAAGTGCCACAACCGCATATCTTTTAAATCCCTCCAGGGTTGGTGACTCAACCTACCGATGCTTTCATGTTTTCTCTCGCCTCGTCCCTCTACGTGGGAGAAGCTCTAAGGCAGCCTGGAGCCTCTCCCCGTCCCTTTTCAAACCTCTCCCTCTGCTCGGGTGCCTACAAAGCAGCTGATAATGGGTAGGCAGGTGGTGTGTGATGCTGCTATTTATTATGCCGAGGGCTGTCTCACCGCTTCGCCTGCACGTTCCCCCCTGCTCCTCCCGGCCACCTGTAGTCTGTCATCCATCTTCAGGCTGGGGCAAGGGTGCTGCCAGTGTTTACAGCTCCCAGCCCAGGGTGAGAAAGGTCTCAGACGTGCCAATGCCACGGCCCAGCAAGATGGAAAAAGGGGAAGCAAATAGGAGTGAGAAGAGGATGGTGCCTGCTTGCTCCCATGGTCTCTCTCTGAAAGCTCTAGGACAGGTGGAGGTGGTGGTGGTGGGCAATGTCTCCAGCTCTGGCACAGGAGGGCTGGAGACAAAAGGGCCAAGCCCCCCATCCACACACTGATGCTAAATTCAACTTTTTCTGCAGCTGAGGGAGAAGAGCTGTGGCTGGCCTTCCTCCAGGTGAAGCCCACATCCCGCTGCAAAGCCTTGGGAGCAGAATCCAGCACAACACTGAGCTGTGCTCAGAGGCTGTAATGCCCCCCTGCCCAAGGGCAGAGGGACCAGGACACCCCAGGGAGGTTGGGAGTGGACCCAGCAGCAAAGATGCCACCAAATACGTTTGGACATGAGCTAGCAGCCCCCAGGGGCATGTCCTGCTCACTTGTGTGTTCACCACTCGACACCTCCAAGTCCTCATGGCTCTTGTCTTCACCTACCATGTATGTGGATTCAGCCCAAAGCCTCTTGGCCGCGTGGATGAACCTTTGGGGCAGGGGTAAAGACCTAAAGCTTTCATAAGTGAATTAACAGTGACAAAGTGGCTTTCCCACACACCTCTGCTTTCCTACTTCCCTTGCAATCCCTACTGCTCAGTGCCTTCATGCACAGCATCCTCCTCAGTCCCTCCAAGTTTGTGTCCCTGTCCCTCTCCACTGGACTGTAAACCATTGTCCAAACCATTGTCCCTGCCCACTGGATGCAAGCAACACACAGGGATGGAACACAGCAGGCTCCTCCACTCCATCACCAGCATCTCCCCCTGCACCCAGCATCCTTCCTACAGCCCTACAAGGCCCAGCAGGGTCTATGGGTGTCAGGAAATGATGTGAAAACAAGACTCTTGCCTCCCAGGCAGACACACAGTGAGGATGGAGCTTTCTGGACCCTGGCTGCATGTCCCTGACCCCCAGGGGCTGCAGGGGGGTTTGGAGCTGGAAAAAAAACCCTGGCCAGGTAGAGAGGAGAGTGACAAAAACTACGGGAATGTCGTTTGTGTGCTGGGACCTGCCATCTGTCCAGCAAAACCGGGACCCTGTGTTTTGCTGGTGTCCACCACCACACCTCTACCATCCGATGCTCCCTCGGGGATTTCCAGCGGCCCCGGCTCAGCGCTCCGGCGGGATCGCCAGCCAGCCGGCACTCTGCGTTCCCCAGCCGCGCTCAGCGCCTGCCAGCCTGCCGAGGGCTGTCCTGACATTTCCCTGCCTTTAATGAGCCCTGAAACTCCGCAGGCGGGCGCTCGCCCAGCCGCGTCCGGGTGCAGCCCCGCTCCGCTGCTGCAACCTCATTAAGGGAGCCGCTTGGCAGAGAGGAGATTTGGCCCTCGCCGCCTGCTCTGGAGGAGGGATTGATTGTCAGGGCTGGTACCAAAGCATCCAGCGTGTCCTTAGCCACAGACAGGGAAACCGTCCGGGGAAACTGCTCATCCATCCCCCGTGCCTTTGCTCCTCTCGGACAGGGACATCCTTGCAGCTCTTGGCGGGTCAAGTGGGATATTTCTAACCCCGTGTGGTTCACAGGCAATGCAAGGGCAGCCCTGGGACAGGGGACATGGGAAAGGCTCTTCTTGTGTCACCCTGAGAGCTGCTGACAGCCCTGAGGCTGTGGCTGGGGCAGGATGTCCCACAGGGATGCCCACACAGCCACCTTGGCCATGAGGCAGCTGAAAGGGCTGGTCCCGGGTGCTGCGATCGGAGAGACAACAGTCATAGGAAAAGGGGCTGTTCTGAGCTTATTAAACCCACACTCACCCCTTCACCCTTCATGGAAAGGCTGTTGGGTTGGGAAACGTTCCTCGTGCATGTCCTTGTCAGCAGACAATTGTCCTGCTGCTCTCTGGCCCTCCCTGTCCCTGGAAAAACATCTTCCCACCTTGACCACAAGGATTTGTGAGCATGGGACAAGCCATGGGATGGGGACATCACTGCTGGTCCTTTTACTGGGCCCTTTTCAAAGCCAGATATTGCATCTCTCTGAGCTACTCTGCTCTGAAATGTGCCCTTCAAACAGCCAGGAATGGAGCCCTATAGACGCCTCCACAAAACACATGTTGGCTTTGGGGGTAGCTGCAAAATCATTTCTTTAAATGCCATTTTTGCATGGATTCAACCCATATTTTTTTATATTCAGCTAAAAAAAGGGAAAAAAAAAAGTTTTCTGCATTGCCAGACCCATTACTCAGACTTTTTCCTGTTTTAACCAAAAACTTCCAATAATGTCTGGCATCCAAGGAGTGCTTTCATACTTCAAAGCTCTTTGCAAACTGTCTGAATCCAGGTGTGTTTGCTCAGCCTAAGCAGACACAGACTGTCGAAATCCATGGGCCTGATCCCGCACTGACAAACATTTTGCTTTCCCTTCTATACCTGCTGAGGGTGAAAGAGCACATCAGAAGTGATGGAGAGGGTAACAACTTTGGAAATTCAGAAAGCTGATGGGTCTGGAGTGGCAGTGCAGGGAACAGTGAAGGAGAAGCCCCATGGAGGGGGCACAGCCCGTGGTGGCTGTGGCAGGTTGCGTCGCCTGCTCTTGGCACAGCATTAACATTTGGTGCAGATTTTCCTGGGATCTAATAGAAACTATTCCTGGGTTTTATCCCCTGATGGGACCCGTAAAGTTTTGTGGTCCCACATCTGTGGCTGTGGTACGTGTGTGTGGGTGTGGGAGCGAGTGTGTGTGCCGGTCGGGACAGGCTGCGGTTTTAGCCCCGGAGTCCCGGGCTTAGTTGGGGTCTGTGAAGGACCGAGGGTCCCAATCCCCCACTGATGCTCACCCACGGGTGCTCCCAGCCCCTGTGAGCCACGGAGGGCTGAGCCACCTGGGTGTGCATCCCCCAGCCCAGTCTCAGAGCGTGGGGTACTGGCAATAAACCCCTGGGAGGGAAAAGGGAGACCTTGAGGGGTGATGGCCACGTGCTGGGGGGCTCCTGCACTGCACAGTGAGGGCTGACGCAGGTGCCAGAGGGGCTGAGGGCTGCCCTGCTCCCCTGGCACACCTGGGCTCCCCACTGTGAGCTCTGGAGTGAGGGGGGTTCAAGAAGGACTGATTCCTAAATTACAGATGGGGAAACTGAGGCACAGCAGTGAGCCTGGGGGCATGGGGAGGCTATGGGCAAGCTGCAGCCAGAGGCTGCCATCTGTGCCAGCCAGCAGGGTCACTTAGGAGTGACCCACACGGCCCCAGATGAGCAGCTCCAGGCTCCAGCTGCAGCTCCAGAGCCGGCTCCAGCTCCAGCAAGGGTTAAGGCCGCTGTGAGAAGGAGCTGCAGAGGCCCCTGAGCTCCCAGGGAGGAAGATGAGTGAGGCAAAGAGACTGTGCTTCCTCCGGGCTCGAGGCTCCCCACCGAGGAAATTGTCAATTAGCGACATAGTTTTAACCACAGAGCGCAGATTCCCAGGATCCGGTGGCTGCTCAGCCGTATTCCCCATTATTTGTGTTTGTGTCCCCCAGGACTCCGGAGCCCTGTGAGATCAGGGACCCACCGTGCTGGGGGCAGGACCCCAGGGGTTTGCCGTGGCTTCAAGCACTAACAGCAGCCATGAAGGATGGGAACACGATGCCTAGCTCTGAGCCTCAGTTTCCCCTTTGGCAAGGCATGGAAGGGCTGGGGGTGGAGGGCTGGGATGCTGGTCAGGGGCAGAGGGAGCTGGGCTGGGTTCCTGCAGGATCCCAGCACTGTAGCCCTGCCTTTTGCAGGGGCATTGCTGCCTCCCTGCCTCCGCCCTTGGGGCACAGGATCAGACCTCAGATTAATTTCAACTTTTTATGTCCAGAAGGGCTGCAAACTGCCAGCTCTCCCCACACGGGGAAAAGTGATTCCCTGCCCTAAGCAGCTCTGAAGGGATGGAGAGGGGCTGGAGCAGGAAAGCATGGAAAGACCCTCTGGCACCAGATACAATCAATTCCTCAGTCACAACACCAACGACAGGAGTGCTGATAGATTTGCCTGCTTTCACTGCTCTGGGGGTTGCACCAAATGGGGCACCACTGCCGTGTATCCCCTCCCCTCTCCCTGGCCACACATCCCTTCCTGCCTCAGTTTCCCCAGCAAGGTGGGGAGGAAGGCCAGCCCAGCACTGGTGAAGCAGGGAGGCTGACTGGGCAGCGCTCAACCCCCGGCACGTCGTGTGGGTGCCCACTCAAAATGTGCCGGCCAGGTCACCTCTCACCAACCCCCACCAGTGTCTGCCCACTGCCCCCTCCCCAGCCCCGACCTCTGGAGCTGCTGAATCATGTCTTGGGAAGTGGCTGCCCGCGCCACCCGTGCTCCCGGCGGCCTCCACGCATGACCCACTTCTCCCGGCAGCTGATGCCATCTGGGAAAGGCAGCCGGGAGAGCGGCAGCCGCCGGTGCTCCAGCCCTGGCCAGGGCTGCCCTGCTTTTGCCCAGCACGTGCTTCCCCAGGGAGCTCAGGTGGAGCTTGTGGGAGCTCATGGGGGGGAGTGGAACTCAGGGCAGCAGCACGAAACCCTCGCTGGGGACAGGGTGTGTGACCAGGGGGACAGCTCAGCCCCTGTGGCCGTGGCACGGGGGTACAGGCAGGTGTGCTGCTCCAACCAGTGCTGCTGGAAGGGATGGCACCACTTCCAAATTACATCACTGTCCCTGAGGATGTGCACTGAAAGTCCAGAGCTCACCTACAGCATCCGAGGGAAGCTCTGGCTGAGGGAGCAGGTGGCAGGTTTATCTGGGGTGTGCCAGGGCGTGTGCCATGACTAAGAATGTAAAGGCTTCCAAGGAGCCAGGGTTCACCCTAGGAGGCAACTCTATCCTGCCCTGTTGTCATAGCAGGGGAAAACCTTCACCTCAGTGCCACAGCTATGCCTGGAATCAAAGAACAACGAATTGGACGAAAAACTTCTACTGGGAAAGTTTGAACTTGGCCACATGGTCCCTGCTGCCACACCTTGGTGCCCCTCACACCCAGTGTCATTTTGGAATCTGCAAAGGGGTCTTGGTAGGAAAATCCCATTGCAGTGCTGGCAGCAAGCCTGAAGGGAGATCGTCTCTGCTTACCAGCATGACCAGAGAGGCTCTGCTTCCCACAGATCCCAAGGGCTTGGGGTATCAGCTCACAGTCTATTGGAAAACTTTGGGATTATTATTAGCAAATGGCAGGGAGTTCTCCAAGCACCCAGTCCCCTGTTGCAGGAGCAAAATGGGAAGGACACAACCCAGTCTCCCATTTCCAATCTGGCGTGCCTGGTGTTGTGTCCAGGTGGGAGCCTGACCAGGGACATCCCAGCATTTCTGATCCCTGGGATGAGTGATGGGAGCTTTGACTCTCTGGACAGCATCTTTGCTGTTTAACAAGAGGTCAGTGTGGGCATCTTGTCTTCCCCTCTCCTCACCATGCCCATCCTCTTTTCCCCTCTTAAATAAGGGAAACAGCCTGCTGGTGCTGCACCCCACTGACACCCCAAAGTCCCAGCGTCCGTGTGACCCTGTGGGATTCCTGCTTGATGCTTTCCTGGGGTACCAGGACACGATTGCACCCACAGGCAACCCAGGAACTCTCACCTGCCTCTGCTCCCCACCTCAAGAGCATCTCCCCTGTTCTGGTTCCAGGTACAGACCTGAGACCTCGAGCTGCCCGTCTGTGCTGCACAGCCCCACACCATCGGGTGATGCTCTGCACCCCGATCCCGGGACTGCAGGATCCCTGTCCCCCCACTGCCCCCATCTCCTGCCCATGCCCCCCATGCCCCCCTTCCACCGCCAACTTCAGTGCCCTCCTTCCCGCCGACGCTGCCGCCGGAGGGACAGATGGTGCCCTCGGAGACACACCTGCTTGGGTTTTATCTTGGCTCCCAACTTGCATTATTTCACCCGCCAGCCTGCTACGCACCCGTGCCATCCGCACGCAGCTCACTGGGGGGGTGTAAAAACCCAGACCCCCAACCCACCCAAAGCCGGCGCTGAGCTCCCCCCACCTCCACCACCCCCCCCAGCCCTGTCCACAAGGTAAAGTGACCTTTGCATGGAAGCAGCTTCCCCCAAAGTCCCCAGCAAGGCTGCCCCCTCTCCCTGAGCCGCCGCCACCCAGCTCAAAGGTGTGGGAATCCGAGGAGCGCTGTGAAACCCTCCCTGCTCTCCCAGGCAGTGAATACACCCAGCTAGCTCCCCACTCACTGTCATTCATCTCTGCTCAGTTCTATATATTGTTCTGCCTCTTCCTCAGCTATAAAGAGATTTAGTTGGATTTGCTGCTTCCTTTTTTTGGTTTATTTTTTAAATACCTGATGAGTATGGAGACCCCAACGTCCTCGCAGTTCGCATATACTCTGCTCCATATCTCTTGAATAACCTTTTTCTCTGCGTCTGAGATCTCTTCACTTCTTTCCCATCTCTCAATCTCCATTTCTCCCTGGACTTTCTCCATGAAAAACAGCCGGCAGGATCCTCCGGGAAGCCAGGAGGAGATAAAGAGAGATGTGTGCGAGCGGGTATATCCTGCGAGAGGAGACAAGGTGTTTGCTCGGCGGCTCCGAGACGTGTGGATGTGTATGAGAGAGTGTGTGTGTGTGTGTGTGTGTGTGTGTGTGAGTGCGAGCTCGGCTGCCTGTCGGCGTGTTTATATATGTAATTTAAAAAATATCCCGGAGGGTTGCTGCATGCAATCAGATCTCAGATCTCCCAGCGCTGTCCATGGCTCTAGTTCGCTTCAGCTCGCCTCGGATGTGTGTGGCTGACTGATGAGGAACTGCCTAAAAGTAAAATATTCAAAGGCATTGCAAGACCAGCCTCTTCACCAATGTGTGAACGTGAGCTCACTTTCTCCCTCTCTCCTCCTCTCTCCCACTCCTCCCTCCTTCTCTCTCTTTTTTTTTTTTTTTTTCTCCACGAAAGGGAGGGATGAGAGAGATGTTCTGGGCAACATCAGGACGGTGCTGGCGGGGGGAGGTAGGGCTGGAAGTTTTTTTTCCAGCCCTTCGTAAACAGCTCAGAGGAAATTCAGAATCCAAAGTGCTGAGTTAAAGTTAGCCCAACCTCTGGCTGCCTCCGAGTTCTGCCTTGGCTCTCCTCTTTGCCCTCCCTGATTTTGTAGGAGGTGATGTTTGGAAGGACAGACCCACACTCGCCTCTGATTCTTGGGGTGAGAGGGGAACGTGAGGCACCCCCACCGTGAGCACCTCTCTGCCCCCCAAAGGAGGTCGTGGTCTGTCCATAGGGACTTTTTTAATTCTGAGAATTTTCTCTCCCTTCTCGTGACAGGACCCAACTGAAAGACACTCTTGAAATGAAGGTATTATTGTCATTCTGCGATTGCATCGCTCCTGGCAGTGCCTTGTCAGGGAACACCTCCACTCCAGGCTTCCCGCCGCCTTCGTGGGTGTGCTTTTGGGCTGTTTTTTTACCCAAATGCCACCTCCGGCTCCTTGGCAATCCGGCATATTAAACCCGCAGCACAGTCCATTTGCACAGAGAGCAGGAAAATCCTACGGAGACTTGTAATAACCGGCAGTCCCCCAGAGGGGGATCAGAGACAAGGGAAGCAGCGGGTGAGCGCAGCCGCCTCCCGCACCCGCTGCGCACCCTCGCAGGGCAGACGGACAGACGGACGGACAGACGGGCTGCGGGTGCCGCTCTGACACCCGAGCAGGCAGGCTGGGGGGTGGCTGAGCCCCTTGGGGATCTGGAGCTTTGTTATTGCAGATCTGTCGAGGCTTTTTGCCTCGTATTTCTCCTCCAAGCCATCCTTGGCCACCTCCCCGTTAGCAGCCGCCAGACTGGCGTTGTCAGCAAATTTGCTCTTGCAGAGCTAACGAGAGCTGGTGGAGAACATGCCGCCCACAGATCCCCCACTGTGGGTCCCCCGGCGAACATGTGCTGGGACAGACTGGGAGCCCCAGGCACCCCATAATCCCTCAAGTACAAAGGTCAGCTGGGAGCTGCCGAAACCACCGGTGTGACAGCACAGAAGCGTCGCCAGTCTGACCTGGTCAGAGGTCGGGAATCTTTCAATAACGCCATCAACCAGCTGCTGAGTTCATCAGATTTACACCAAGTTGGGACTTCCCTTCTGCCCGTTGGCCAATGGGATCAGTGGCCATGAGCCTCAGATTAAACATTAACTACAACGTCCCCAGGTGATCACTGTGCAGCAGAGAAACCCCTCTGGTCCAAGGATGGCATGGCCAAGCTTATTGCCCACCCTTGAAGTGCAGGGGAAGAAGTGCTTTAGACTTGGCTCAAACCCACAGAGACCCAGCTTAAAATCAGAGCAAAACAGCAATGCAGGGCAAGCACTTTCAAAGAGGAGGAAACAATCAAACTATAACCAATATGAACACCAGAGCAATAATCCAAGTGGAGCAATGGTTATCACTTGCTGTGTGATTAAAGAAAAGGACTCTGTGCCTGGTGTCCTCATCTACACTGGGCTCACCACCTGGCACCTGTTCCATGGTGAGCCTGGGCACAGTGGGTATGTTGCCTTGCTCCCTGCTACCAGGAGCTGAAGGATCTCGGCTCAAGAGTCTCCATTTAGAAATATTAAAATATTAGAAAAATTAGAAAAGTAAGTGAGAAATCCCCCAGCCTTTTCCAGATTTCTGCCTCCCTCCCTGGGGTCACCACATCTGGCCCTGGCAGGAACCCAGCCCTGTTCCCATGTGCCATCCTGCTCTGCAAAGAGGAGAGGGAGATTAAAGCAGCAGTGGTGATCTGCTGCCTCAAAATCCCAAACAACCCCAACAGCCCTTCCCTTCTGTGTCTTGTCCCAGACATGGGCCATAAATCAGGGGAGGAGTGCAGGCACACTCTGTCACGTGCCTGCTGCCCGTTTCCATGGTTTCCCGTGAGTGTTGCTCTCAAGGGCTTGGGGTTAGGAGGTGACTTGTTCCAGAAGGAGAAAGATGCTGCCTTGTCACCATTGCAGCCTGCTGTCCCAGAAGGGATCTCAGCACAGTGCCTGCTGCCAAGGTAGGGTAGCCTGGGACCATGGGGTTCAGGGTGGGGGACAGAGAACCTGGTCCCTATAGCCAGTAGGGAGGTTGGATCAGCCTGGGTGCTCTGTATTGAAGAAAGTGCTCCATCTCTCTCAGATCCCAATTAATTTCAATACCCTGATCCCTCTCACCTCACCAGCTGAGCATTGCAGCCCTCCTGCTTCCCACCTCCAGCCTATATGGACCTGACCTCATGATGAGGTGGCACTGTGGTGCCCTGTCCCTGCTGAGCCTGAGTCTGCTTCTCCCAGAGCTTCTGCGCAACAGGGAGAGATCAAAGCCATCCTCCACCCTGACTGCAGAGGGTAGGGATGGATTTCCAGGCCCTCCAAGCCTCTGCTTGTGGTGTATCGTGTTCCTGCGGGGTCTGTACCTGCCAGCCCACAGCTTCTCCCACTCCCCCTGTGCCCTCCCACGTTGCCTCTCCTCCTCCCGTGCGCTGGGTGCAATGAGAAATGTACTTGGCTCCCGATCCTCGAGTGGGAGGTGAAGGCAAAAAATCCCAAGGCTTCAGCTCCACAGTGTGTGGGATGTGGATGATGGCAGATCCCCACCCTTGACTCCGTCACTGTCTCTGGGGTGAAGGCAGACACCCGAAATCCAGACCCTTGGGGCTGAGCCCATCTTCTCTCATGCCTGGGTTCAGCCTCATGATCTGGTTCCTGGAGAAAAATGGGTGACTTCTTGTGTCCCCTGCAATGTCAGCTCCCTGGGACCTTCAGACCATTAGCTGGGGTGGCCCTGGGAAGACACCCCATGAACTCCCTCAGGGAGCACTTTGGGAAGGAGCTGCAGGAGCTGCCCCAAGCCCTTGTTGCAGGAGCACAGCAGGGATCCCTTTTCCAGGCCAGAACAGGAGCAGTCCTGGGATTGTAAGTGAAATAAGGCTGAAGGCACGAGTGTGGTGCGTGCCAGGGTGGGTGTTACACCTTCATCCTCCTCCCGGAGGCACTCTGGGCTGCTTCAATACCTGATCCAGTGACATTGGGCTTGTAACCCTGAACTTTGCTGAAGCAAAGCCCCTGTTTGCCAGCCTGGCTCACCCAGCAATGCCCTCAGCACGCCGTGTCTCTCCCTCCCTCTCCCTAATCTAGCCCTGCTGCCAACTGCAAAGTCCTGGCCTGAAAAGGAATAACAAGACTTTAGGAAATGGCTTTGCAGTGCTGCTACCCAGGGAGGGAAGGATTTAGCCTAAAGCCTGTACAAATGCTCTGTGCTTATTGCAGGTTTCCTTCCCCCACCTTCTCTGATCCCTAGAGACCTGTGTGCAATCCTAATGCTCCATCTCTGTGCCCACAGTGCCGGTGGTCTGCGAGCCACCACTGTGGGATCAGGCTGGAGCACAACATGCCCCCCTAACCAGGGGGTTAAAAGGGGCTTCAGCCAGCAGGACCCCCCAGATCCAGCTGGGGTTGCATCGCTGCCTGAATCTCCATCCCATGGTGAGCCCACGTGGGATCCCAGTTTAATCAGGCAGTCTTTGTCCGTGTCTCTGGAATGCTTGGTCACCAATTTGCTCGTAAGGATGGGTGGTGTGAAGAAACTGGGATTCCCCCAGTTCTGTGTCCTCAACTCAGCTGGGAGGAGCTGGGACAGGGAAGTGACGATGTAGGGAGCTGCTGCCCCCTCCCAGGCCCAGGCAGTCCTGGGAAGTGATGCCCGGGCTGCTGGTGCAGGACAAAGCTGGGAGCAGACATTCCTCTGCTGATGGAATCCAGACCGCAGGCACTGCTGCCAGAGCTGTGGGGAAGGCGCTTAAACCAAACCAGCCCAGACTCTCCTTCTCACATGGAAACAGGGTTCCTCTGCTCTGGGGTCCGAGTGCAACAATGCAACTTGCACAGAGACCGAGGTGTCACTGATGGAAACCCCCCAGCGGGTCCCTGCCCTGAGCCCCCAGCTCCCAGAGGAAACCTCAACCCCTGCAGCCACTCTGACCTCCAGCTCATCACCCTCACATTTTGGAGCAGGATGGTGTGGGATGCTGGGGATGGTGTGGGATGCTGGCTTGGGGACTGGGACAGCAGCAGCACTGGGTAGATGCGTGGAAAGGGAGCATGGGATGGAGACCCTTGGCAGCAGCGGCAGAGGGGAGGTGGTAGGTGTGATGGGGACAGCAAAATCTCCCCATGACTGGTGGAAAGCTGACACCAGCTTTCCACCTCCCTCTCCAAAAAATCCCCACCAACCCACACAGTCTAAAAATCCCCAAGGATTACAACATCCAGGGGAATAGGAAGCAGAGGAGCCTTGGGAGTGGGGCTGGATGCTGCCCAGTGCTCGCAGGCAGGGCAGGGCATGGTGAGTAGCTGCTAAGGCAGTCCTGGAGAACACTTCAAACCCAGACCAACCTGTTCCTGGCCTGGGAATGTTGCAAAAACCCCCAGTCCCACACTGGGATTTGAGGAAACTGAAACCTTGTGATGTAGCTGGGACAGATGAAGCAAGAGACACTCAGGAAGCAGATCCAGCACCACAGGGCTTCACAGACAAGGCATCAGCCTGCTGCTAAACTTCCTCAGACCCTGAACAGCCTCTGGTGTCACCACCTTCTTCTTCATCCCCTGTGCCCAGCTCTCCCCCCAGGAGTGTGGCCCCTGTCACAGCCAGACCCTTCAGTGATAAGTCAGGATGACAGGGTTTTTGGGAAACAAGTTGACACTTCCAAACAGATTCTCTTTGCTGCTCTTTTCCTTCCTGAAGCTGGTCTGAGAGTGGCAGGGGTTGCTCAGGAAAGCCAGTAAGGTAATATATTCATGTCATCTCACATTTGGTGCCAGGACATGAAGTAAACACCATCAGGGACCTCGCTCCGGTTCAAAGACAAGCCCTGATTCTTATTCCAGTCACATTATCCATGGTCCTCGTACAGCTTTATTGATTCA